GCCAACTAGACACAAGTTTCGATGGGCATCTATTATTAGCACAGATAATCAGAAAAACATATTCTGTCAATAATATGAAACTCACAACTACGTCTTCAGATTTACCTGAATAAAATAAACTGACTTTTTCTGAACCACAAATAACTCTCCTATTGATTAGCAATAGTTCCTGTTGTTAGCCACATGCAATCACGAATAATATAGAATGCTGTAAATTGCAAAAATATGTGATGTAGTAATTTTTGTGTGAAGTGTATTTTTAATAATTGAGTAAATAATTGAGTCAATATGCATAAAGGTATTATATTTGTTATGGGTTTTGAAATAAATGAAAATGAAATTCAAAACCTACTTATAGTTATTGAAGGACTAATTGCCAATAACTATTTCACCTTCTATTATGCTATATGACAACTATCCTGCGACTTTTTAATCCTCGAGACATATTTCTCAACATATGTTCCGGACATAATGTGTCACTTTTAATAAATCTTCGTCATCATTTGTGTTTCAGGAGGACTTTCTTTCAGTTTGTGTCTGAAAGTTACTTCTTTGCATAATCTACACATCCATGTATAGATTTACTTATTTTCAAATTGATTACTTCCTTCCTTTCTTTGGAAGATTCCCTCATCTCTTTTTTTGTATCAAGATGGAGTAGTAGAAAGTCAAAAACTTTCTCTCCCAAAAATTAATCACACCTAAATATATGACCCCTTCAATTCAAATTAAAAAATATATTTCTATTGTAAAATAAAATTTCGGGCAAATTATTAAGATTGTCCAGAAATGCTAATCCTTTCAGTAAAAATTCGGAATGACACTGGGTTTCCCCCATTCTCCGGTTGACATTTTTTATGAGAAACTTTATAATTTGGTAACATAAGGTGAAATGAAAGATTTTTTGTTTCATTAGTGACTGGGAAAGCACGATGAAATTAGTACAAGAAACTTTCGTTTCTCGGTATATTGATAGCAAAAGGTATGTACGAAGAGAGCACATTTTGAAAAGTCAAATCAGTCTGACCACTGTGTCAAAGAGAGATACATAGGTACTAAGAAAATATTTTGTTGAAATTTGAATCATTCACCTCTCCTAACGTTCCTACACTTGTAAAAACGATTTTGACACAAAAATCAAGTACAGATAACTACGTATAATACAGGGTGTTTCCTAACTACGGCATGAAACTTCAAAGGATAATTCATTAGGTCGCTTTAACAAAAAAAGTTCCAATAAACATACTTCCTGAGTTGATTCGTTTCTAAAATACAGGACGTTGAAGATTATTAATGAAATATCATTTCATTGATGTTTGGTATAATTATTTCAAGAGATGAAGCGCTAAATAAATTTAAATTATTAGGTCCTGTTTGAAGGTGATTGACAATGTTTCGTGATGAATTTCACTAGTTCGGACTTCCATTGTCTACTATATAAAATGATTTGAAATCCCTGAAACAAGTCCAATTAAGTACTTTCTTACCAGCTTTGGAGACCAGCTGACCGTATTGTCATATCAGTCAAATTCGGAGTTGTCAATTAGCACTAGCAGTGATTCCATCATGAATAATTTTACTAATGGTGAAATGGAAATGAAGAAGAAACAAGGTTAATTTACCAGGACAGATATCCTAACAAAGCAATTCCATACGCTAAAACATTGAAAACGCTGCATGCAATATTATGTGTTGTAAGACCAGAAACAGTAACATCGCCTGAATTAAAAGAAGATATACTTAATGCAATAGAAGATCATTCAAATGATACCTATCATATTGCACTGCAGCTTGAAGTCGGCCTGAAAATAATTTGGAAAGATATAAAAGGAAAACCTCCTCTACTCATATCACATACAGAGGGTCCAAGCTCTACTGCCTCAGGATTTTCAACCATAATTAACATTTTGTATGTGATTGGTTCATACTTGTCACACAATAACCATTTTTTAACAAATGTTTCACTTACAGATGAAGCAAATTTTTCACGAGATGCTATTATAAATTTTCACAATACCATTTATGAACCGACAAAAATCCCCACGTTACTAAAGAAAGTAAATTTCTGCAACAATTTCTGCAGAAAGTTTGGATAGAACTTATTGGTGAGTATGCATGTGATCCATTTTTTCACCAACAAAATTAATAGAGTGAATACTACACAGACTTGTTGTGAGATCATTTACCTCTTTTATTAGAAGTACCCATACTTGTATGAGTTAACGTGTGGTTTATGTACAATGGGGCTACAGCTCATTTTACTGTGCTTGCTCGTCAGCATATTGACATCAATACCCTAATCACTGGTTGAATGTGCAAAACATAAGAATTGACCAGCTCGCAGTTGTGATATGATTCCTATAGAATTCTATTCATGGTGAATGACTTGAGGAATCGAATAATTGACAATTGCAATGTCCTGAGAAATAATCCAGGTATTTTTTATCGTGTCAGATAATCAACGACAAATCAATTGCAGTCATGTATTTTATTAATTGGATAGTGAGTTAAAGTGAAGTGACACTTTTTTTTAAATAAAGCTAAATTTGAAGACCAATTTGATTTAAAGATCAAAAAATTATATTTTTATTAGCACGATCTGAAGAAATAAGAAACTATCAAAACAAGACAGTAGTGGGTGAACATTTTTTCCTCAATATTATTGGCGGTGGTGCATAAAGACTCTATTTTACTTAATCATCCTAATTTGGTTAGGGCTGAATGAGCTCCTTATTACTTCAAATAAGTTTACCAAATTTCAATCAATTCTGTTCAAGGATATTTTTTAAATACCAGTTTTTGAAAACTTCAACTGCCTGCTTCTCAAAAACTAAGCAACTTTCTAACATATGTTCATAGGTACCATTTTAAAATACCTAATGAATCACCCTCTGAAGTTTAAAATTTTTATTAGTTAACATTAAAATGGGCATTTTCTCAATGAGATGGGTCAAGAATAGATTCCCTGATAGCTGTAAACAAAGTTGCTTTTCCCAATATGAAGTTGGTCTGGTCTATAATAGTCCAATAAATGTTTGTCTAATGTTCCGCATCACCTTTTTAGGAAAATCGTCACATTCAATTATTGATTGAAATCAAAGAAAGTTCAAGCATACATTAAATACGATATGAATAAGTTTCATGGCAAAAATTTTATATCGTGGACTTACTAATTTTTTATTGAAATTTTGTTTTTGGCACTAACACAAAATCAATTGACAATTTTAGAATATTTGGAAAAATGTCGACTGCAAAATAATGACATCAACATTCTTTAGGATTGGAGACATTGAATCATTATACAAATTACACAAAGGTTGTATTTAGTTAGAACTAGTTTCACAAAAGGAAAAACACTGTAAGAAATAACTATGACAAAATAAATTGAAATTCTCATTCCAATACAAACCTTTCAAATCTTTTGTTGATTCTTTCAACGAAAAAAAGGAAAACATTTCAGTTGGAGAAAGTCAACCTTAATAAATGTCCTATAACACATTAATTGATGTTGCTGATAAAAGATTATTAGAGTCCATGTTTAAGGAATGATTTAACTGAATTGCTTCATAATTTATAAGGTAAACCTTTCATTTTATAACTTTTCCCTACAGCCAATCCTTTTTATTTCAAAACTACAGGTTAGGTCCAAAGTGAGTGGGTCTATTTTACCCTCCACCGCAACCCACATAAAACTACAGGTAGTCATTATCTAATATAAAAAAATAATTTGAAACAAAGTACCAATAATATTGCCAAAAGTTTTTTGTTATAAGAATGTGTGTGTTAAATTAACGATCGTTCCTAGTTTAAAGGATGAACTTACTGAGTGTTGTGATAGTTGAATGATATCACATTTTCCCCCATATCCATTTTCTCTACACATTCCCTCATATTCTCCTTGTTCCATAATACTAGTACACAAATAATGAAGTGGGATATCAAAATTAAAAATCTAGCAGGAATCAAACCTGAACTATTGTACATGATCTGAAAATAACAGAAATATTTTTATATTCAAGTGCAATTACTATTATAAATACCTCTTATGATCCCTTAGTTTTGTGATCTATCTCGTTTTCATTCGCATACTAATGTTCTATTATCATTTATCATATTCATTTATGGAAATCAATTTTACCTACGTAAATAAAATAAAGCTCATTTAAACATTACCGCGCAAAGAACTTTTTAACAACACCAAATTCAATGCTTGTTGAGACCGAGATCCAAACATACATAACATAGACAAGATAATGTGGACTCGGACTGAGCCAAACGTATATTCCAGTTTACAGGGATTACACAACGTCTTGGCCAATGCGTCACAGCATCATGTGACATATTTATCAAATCCCAAAAAGTTCACATGGAAATATATGCAGCATGTAAAACATCCTGAGGTTGTACCTGACGTTTACTGTGTATGAGTGACGCAAATGCCAGGACATGAATTTTTTTCATCTTATTTCATTTGTTGCAGTTAATGTTCTCTCTTCAATAGCCAGTCCACATTTCTCTTCTTTTATTTTCAGGTCACTGATAAAAGACACATAACCATGGACAATGACAGAACTCAGAAACAGAGTACAGAGTACAAGATTAATTGACTGCAGGCCAAAAAAGCGGAAAGCGTTAACTGGCGTTAACTAGTAAAGACTAATGACATTAGTCTTTACTACTAATGAAAAAATCCGTGTAAGTTTATGAAAAATTAAATTAATTTTGGCAAAAAAATTATACTACGCCGCCCATGACATACAAAGACACTGCCGACGTTCGGTAACTATCTAGTTTCTAAACGGTTTCATTTAGCTTGCCCTGTTTGTTTGGGTCAACTACCTTTTTGTTGACAGATTGATTGATTTGGTACACACATTTACTTTCGTTGACAATACGAATTAATAAATTCTGTATCATTGAAGATGAAGATGACCGTAGCTACAAAATGACGAATTACATATTTTTTCACAACTACCTCGATATGGGTATCAAATGACATACCTTGAATAGTAAATAGTATTACACTTCAATAATGATGCAAATTCGAGATGTTGCAGCTACAAAATGGCGGATTACATATTATTTCACAACTATCTCAATATTTTGCGGTTCAATATTGACGTATCGTAATATCGTAAGAATTGGTAAACGTTTGATACATTTGTAAATTGTTTGGCCTCAGTTTCGTCGAACTCAGATGTACTAAACAGATGTACCGTCAGCTCAGATCAACATTTGAAAAGACGGCGTATATCTTTTCCAACCTAAAGCCATACAGTTTCCAGCAAAGTTCAATTATGAGACGACTGAATGAAGGATGTCACCCGTAATTTCGTCATGGGCTTCCACTGTCCACAAAATGCAAGGCAACACTGTAGACCACGCCACGCAGTTGTGTATTGTATCAAGGCTCGGAATTGTTTGAAACGGAGAAGCGTATGTAGCTCTAATTCCATGCACGATCATAATACATCAAGCAAATAGCCAATAACTTTTGGCGGGAATGTCTTTTTCTGGGTGCTAACTGCCAACAAAACACAACTAGAGTGAAGAGTATGGTTATGCAAATTCAAGGCGTATTCGTGTTCGCAGTTCGAAAATTATAGGATCGTCGAAAATAGTTACCTAGCTGGCGCAAAACTTTTCAAGTCTCAACTGTACGACTACATTTGACAGTTCGAAAACCGTTCAAAGAATCGAACCCTCATGCGGCTTCAGATTAGTAAAAAGAAAGCTACCCAGATCTTTACAAAATTTTAAAATAGAAAGCAGATTCAAAATCAGATATGACAAAAGATTTATCACCTTCACAGGTGAGGCCGTGTGGAACTATTCCATCGGTTATATCTATAGTTTGCAGAATTTGTTATGATTGTGATAAAGAAGAGGAATTAATAACACCATGCAATTGCAAAGTCATTTGGGATACTTTGGTGAAAAATTTAAATGATATCTATTAATAATTTACAGGGAACAGTAGCATTCGTTCATCGATCGTGTTTAGAAACTTGGTTGGGTGAATCCAATTCCACAACATGTGAACTATGCCATACTATATTTAAAACTGAGAGAACTCCAAGGTTTACATCAAGTAGATCCATTTGGTACTGGTGTCGACACCCACCAACTGGAGCAGCACAAGGAGTTAGAAATGACATTCTTGCATGTGGAATCATTACACCTCTTGCCATAGTTATAACCTATGTGTGCCTATTCTCCTCGGAATATTACAATCAACAAAAATTTTCCAACGTCCCAGCAGCTCGATGGACATCAGTTTCACTTCTTGTTATGATAGGGATAATGCTCATTGGGTACTATATGTGGGTATATTCTGTCATTAGAATGCATGCTAGAATGTGGTATAATTGGTGGCAAAGAACATGTGATGTGAGATATATTCCTCACAGTAGAACTCGCATGGATACATTACAAAATTTAAATAATCATAATCAGCCTGATTTTTCTTCCATTATCAACTTGGCAGAGGGAAGTGATTACACTGTATCTTCTACTGCAGTAAATGTTAATCTTGATGTACATTCAGTTGAAAACGAGGTTGAAGCAGTGCAACAAAACAATTCAACAGTTACTACTGAAAATTATACTATCTTATTATTATCTGGGGATAATGCTATGAACAGACCCAAAAGCGAAGTGAAACTTCACAAGATACAGGAAACCATAGTTTAATCTTTTCCTAGAAAAAGATGTTGAGGAAATTGAAATACAAAATGTCAATGTGATTACCTAAGTCGGCCACTCACAGAAAATAAAGTTATATGAATATAGAAATTTTCTCATGTTATTTTTCATTCCAATTTAAAGGTGTTTGTGAATCATAGGTTTGACTTGTTTCTACTTAATAAGGTGATTTTTTAAGAAAAGTAAATGAAATTCTTATATACCTACTTATGGGGCAGGTATCAGATTGATGAATGCCAATTGTCCAGAATGGTTGTAGTTGTAGAGTTGGCAATAAGAAATTAATATCTTTAGGCCATTATAAAAAGAGATACTTATATTTTTCAACAACAAGCATAACATAATGGCTACCAAAAATGGAAATTTTCATGAGAATTAATGCAGACAGTTTTAAATAATGTACATAATTTTTACAAAGCTTCAAATGCTATATACTTACTTGTCCATAATAGCCAATTCAAAAAATAAAGAGAATTAAGCTCCAAAATATCAAATAATTTTTTTTATTTTCATATTTATTCGGAAATAGTGATGGCAGGTGATCCAGCTCCCAATGTGGTTTCATTTTAAGCTTTTTTTCATTATTTATTCCTAAGCAAAAAACTTTCTGAACCTTTGGTAATTTGAAAAGAAAAAGAAAACATATTTAAAAAGTTAGAAAATATTGTGTGGTAAATTTTAGGGGTGGAAATTGATTTTTATGACTTCCACTGAAACTGGACTTTTTGAAAAAAAATTATAGGGAATATGAAGATCTACAACTTTTCACATAACCTTATGTTTTCCGAGAGAAATTGGAAAAACCGGTTTTTTATTTGTTTTTTATCTGTTACAAAACTCGTTTGTTAACCATTTTCTTTATTCTGTTTTGCTTGTTCTGACGAACAAGCAAAATGGTTACTGATATTCTCACCCCTCCAAATCTCACATACCTAAATATTATTAATGAATACTAGATTTTCCAGTAACCAGAAATGTAATTTTCCATAAAATTTCACGAGAAATAAATAATTTTTGGCGATTGAAAATATTTTTTCTCGAAAATTTTTATTTGTATGAAAAAGTTTTCATTACATGCAACTTAAAGAGATTTATCTTCAGTGGAAATTGTGAAAAACTACTTCATTAAGTTCCTATTCGACCACGACCTACTAGCCCAGATTTTGTTTTCTTCAATAGCATTTTTCATTGTTTGGGCGTATGTTTCAACTTCGCTATTTGTTATAATACTGGGTATTTTTGCTGAATTCCGTTACTCTCAAAAAAATTCTTTAATTTCTGAGCTTTGAAAGTTGGACCATTATCACTAATTCGTATCCCTGATGGTCAAGAATTGGATGGGACGATTCTATAGGCCATGAAGTGCCTGACAAATGTTTAGCTCGTAAAATGATCTGAAAAAATTGAAAACCTGTATAGCCGTCCCGGGATGTAACTCGGCAATATTAAATTAGCAGAAACTATTGAAATTCATATATGCTGTGATGGAGGTAAACAACAAAGTTTTGCGAAGTGGTGACGGATAGAAAAACTCACGTCTTCTCGATTTTTGGGCGAGGCGCGCCAACAAAACAGATCTCGATTTGGAGGATTGAATTGCAGGCATTTAGAAATCCGTTTAAGGTAGAGAAGTGTAGAGAAGAATGAACTTAACTTTAGAATTAACAAATATTTGGTCAGATTCTACGACAATTCTGTATTAGATCAATTTTTTTTCGATCGCTTTGGTCGGTTTGAATCTCGCAGGGTAAGTGAAATACTGGAACCTAACGTCAAAGATTGGCATTGGATACCGTCAAAAATGATTGTCGCCTATATTGTCACCCGAATTCACAACAGAAATAGAAAATATACAATATTTTCAAGATTGGTTTTTGTTTCGTTTCCAAACAATATAACAGTCCTTTTAGCTACACTCAATGAAAAATATACAACATAATTCTAACATTCACAGTTAAGTCTAAAATATCAATATAAAACGTAGTAATAACACTCAATTGATTCGAAAATTCTGTGGTAAAATAAACTTCGGTTTGATGCCGGTAGGGGGGGTGTTAAAAAATAAATTACTTTTGCGGAACAAAATTTTTTACCAAAAAGACACCAAGACTGAAAATGAGAAAAAAGTCAGAATCATGATTACAGTAATTGCAGAACATGAACTGTCACTACCAAATAACAGTGAATATGGATTAAAGGCAAGTTACTAAATTCACACCGAATGCATACCTACCTACCTTCTCATTCGCCTACGTGGATTCTTTCATTTGGTCGAGTCGAAATACATTTCGGTACTATTGCTTTGAGAATTCATCAGATGCAATGGCAGGCCTTTGAGTCTATTATGGCCTCAGAAGTGAAAAAAGTACTATTAGTAGAGAATAAACTGGGTTTTATTCTTGTGCATCTCCATTATTTATACACAACCCTTCATTAATAATGGTTTTTTATATTTTTTTGGGAACTGTACATTGTGATCACGGCAAACGGCCAACTAGACACAGAATTCCTATTTTCCCGTATATATATTCATCAGTAAATGAGTTATTAATCGTCAGTATTAGGAAATGGTTATGGGGAGTGGGTGGCTGTTTTTTAGAATATTTGTGAGTTTGTTTTTACCTATATATAATTAGCAACCCTCAAAATTCTAATTTTAGGGTGGAATCATGCAGTCTAAATTACCATTAGCATTAACCTCAATAACTACTAAAAATTTGAAAAATTGCTTTCGCGCTTATCGTTTCATGTAGCATGAATCAGATTAAATTTGAATTTAGGTACATTAGGAGTTCTTCCTTAATGCTAATTTTTCGTCCTTTTGTGCACTATTGTGTGCTAATTTCAATGTCATCTAGTTAACTAGTGTGTTCTGTAAGTTTCATGTTATGCCATAATAACTATTATGAAATGAGTGGTAAAAGCAAGGTTTTATTTTGTGAGTGAAAAAGTTTGCGAAACGAGCGTAGCGAGTTGAGCAATTTCACGAACAAAATTAAAATTAGTTTTTATACAAATATAATAGAATTTTTTTTGTACAACTATCCAGATTTCATAATAAAATAGATAGATTTAATATTTCTATAAAACACATTTTAAATCTTTTGTCAATTAACTATTTTCATGTTATGGCATTTGCTGTGAAGTGGCCATGTCATGTGACGCCTAATTACCTGGTTATCAACAAACAGTATTGTTTACAGCTCACGCGTTTTATTTCAAGTCTCATTTAAAGTTTTTCCTGGTGTTTAATGTCTTACATAATGAAGAACAATAGTGAGGAATTGTGAGTTCCTGATGATATTGAAGAGGCTGCAAAAAGAGCTTAAACTGTCTTCTAAGCCTGTCTAGAAGAGAAATAAAAAATATGGAACTCGTCAACTTTGTGGAGCAAGTTTTCAATGATAAAGTCGAGTGCGCTCGTTAAAGTTGGTGTTAATGCAAGCAAATAAATATTTCAAGGTAATAGCATTCTTAAAGCGGAGAAATGAAAGTTATAGGCCCACAAAATCAAAAACACTTACGTTTGAACATGTCCAGAGGTTTGTGAATGAGGCGCCAGATGAAAAATAGTTGATGATAGAAGTTGCTACAATTTTCGGAATATATGAAGCCTGCTGGCGTAAAGAGCTATGCCATTTATTAATATAAGACATTAAATTCCAAATACAAAAACGAAAATAGGTCTATCTTTTTGCATTGTTGGAAAAAACATTGACAATTTTAATAAACACGTTGCATTACGCCCTTCTGTAATCAATCATCAACGTTTTTTTCTGAAATACTCAAACTATAAATGCAGTGCCACGTTTGGGAAAATGCCCTCTACCATTGCTGAGTTTCTGAACCTCTCGAAACCAAAGGAATATACAGGTCACTATTCTTCTGCCTCTTTGCTAGCAAATATAACCCAATTAAGAAGCACGGAAGATGGAAATCTACAACAGTAGCTGAGGGTTACATCGATCAATATATTTCTTATAAAAAGGCTATTGCTTCAAATTTCGTAGAGTTCTTCAAAATTTAGTCTCGAGAAATTTTGTGTTTCATATATTATTGACTTTTCGATATTTTTCATTTCAATTTTAGGTAAGATAACTTTCTTGCCTGTTCCTATTTTCACGTTGTTGGTGTAAAATCTTGTTTCTCACTTCAATTTGACAACTTTTTGGGATCTTAATTAGGGTGGGCGCTTTTATTTCCAAATATCGATCGGTTTTACATTTGGAAAATATTCTTTCGCTCTATATCGGAATTACCAGGATTTTTTCTTGAGTGATTGTTCGATAATCGACTCTGCCACATTGATTGGAAGAGGCTGACTTTGCCTTCAATTAGGTGGGATGTGCATTGGTCTTCAGAAAAGTAATCTGGACAATTATACGTTTTCTCTAATACTAGGCATGAACTGTCTTCGAACTGGATTTTGTGGTTTGCTCGTGCCTAATATGGGTATTTCAGGATAAAAATACTGTGATTTTGGATGATAGGATAAAGGTGGAAAAATGTAAGAACTTCGTTTCCGACAATAGAAACATGTATTGTGAAAATTATTCTGCCATTTGAAAAAGTTACTTGTGCACCGAAAAATTGATAATAAGTAAACCTACTTTCAAATTTCGGGATTTTTGAATCAGAGTAGATGTTGCTTAAATATTTTATTATTTCTTTCAGTTCAGAACTAAGTATTATTGAATTATGTAAGGTATTTAACTTCGCAAATGTAATAGCATCTTTTGAATCATCGATAAAAGTAATGATATTTTGGCAGTCAATAATTGTGAAACTATTCCCTGAAAACTAATGTAGTTCGTCAGGTCGCCAATGGTTTTTTTAACTGCAATTTGAAATGTTTTTGGACTGTTCTCTAATTTTTCTTGATTTGAATGCAAAATTTGGATAGTTTTATTATAGTGATTGATTGATTTTTTGGACAGAGAGATTTGCATGTTTACCTTACTAATCATATTTTTTTGGTTACGTTCTAATATAGCGATACTTTGGTCGTATCGTTTACCATCATCAGCATCAAGAGTACAGAATAACCAATTTTCGATTTTTCCAATAACATTTATCATTCCTCTTTCAGTACAG